GGCATCTGAGAACTAGACAATGAAGATGACAGAATTGATGCCTTTGATTTGTGGTGTTGGAGAACACCGAATATGCCATGGACTGCCAAAATAACAAATATGTCTTAGAAAAAGTGCAGCCAGAGTGTTCCTTAGAGGCAAGGGTGGTGATATTTCACCTCACATATTTTGAGCATGTTGCTAGGAGAGTCTATTCCTTGGAAAGGGATATCATGCTTGGAAATGTGGAGGGTCAGTAAAAGAGAGGAAGACCCTCAACGAGATGGATTGACACAGGGACAGCAGCAATGGGCTCATGTGTGTTAGAGATGATGTTGTTCATAGGGTCATTGTGAGTCATATTCGACCACAACTAACAACAACAATCACAGCAAATTGCATGGAAGGAAATTACCCATCTTTCACCCAAGTAGCAACTGATGGATTTAAGCCATGTACCTTTGGGTTGCCAGTGCAACTCCTTACCATTAAGCCACCAGGACTCCACAATACTGCATTGAATAGTAAATAGGAATTGAACAATTTGCAGAAAGTTCTTATTTTTCCTCTCATTTCTCAAACTTTTAGGAACCATTTCCTTTCTCACTGATGTGCAAAGACCAGAAGACCCTGGAGTGCTGACACCCACCTTGAATTGTGAGAACTGACTAAATTATCTCCTCTTTGATTTTCCAAATTCTTTGTTGCTTATCAGTCTAGTCTTAACACATTTGGATGGTTTGCTTGTGCAAAAGAACAGCTATAAATTTAAAAATGAAAAACTAACCTCTGTGGAATTTCAGTTGCTGTGTTTCTCAAAACAATTCTTTTTAGTACAAGGACTCTGTATTCTTTCCATTTTCTTTTGATGTTTCCTGCATAATTCAAGATTTTACCTATAGAATCTTTCAATATTGCAACACAAGGACTTGAATGTTATTCAAGTTCTTTTAGCTTGAGAAATGTTGAGCATGTTCTATTTTATTCTAATTCCAGCTCTTTGCACATTTCTCCATAATAATTTGTTTTGTCTTCTTGAGCTGCCCCTTGGAATTTCTGTCCATCTTTTTTTTTCTGAATATGTTTGTATTTAATAAGTTGATAAGAATTCTTACAAACTAAAAATCTACAAAGGATTTTAAATTTGTTCATCTCTTTTGCTTCAGTGTTTCTTCCCATTGTTTTGGCCTCTCTGCATTCCAGGGCAATTTTCAGAATCTCTTCTGATACCCATTTTGGTATTTTCTTTAGCCTTTGTCTTGGTAATGACCTTTTTGCTTTCTTTGCAGATAATATCCTTGAAGTTACCAAGTTTCATTTTACCTGGATCCACTATTAGGCAATAGTCAAGACATCTAAAGAAATGTTGCGGGGGGAAATCTGCTGTTAAAGAACTCTCCAAATTACTAAATAGTGATGATGTCAGTTAAGATTAGTGCACCCATCCAAGTCATGGTATTTTCTGTTACTTCCTATGCATCTGAACATTGGACAATGATTAGGAGTAATAGAAGAAGAATTGACTGCTTTGAATTGTGTTTGAGAAGAGCACTGAATATTCTATGGATGGTAAAAAAAAAACCCAAAAACCAAGTATATGCAGGAAGATACTCGGATGGCCAACAGACACATGGAAAAATAGTCAAAATCACCAGCAATAAGAAAGATGCAAATCAAAGCCACAATGAGATACCATTTCACTCCAGTAGCAGTGGCAAAGTTTAATAGGCTATTGAGTAATTAATGTTGGGAAGGATGTGACGAGATAGTAACTCTTTTATTTTTCCTGCCTTCGGGTTTATTTGTACAAATAACACAGGAGGACACCAGCCCCATGTAGATGGCAGCAGCCCAGGGGGTCACACCAGTCCTTCTGTCCTCAGATGGAGTACTCAATTATGGAGCCTTTGCAGGGGCCTGGGCCCCTTTAGGAGCCTGGCTTGGAGCAGGAGCCTGGCAGGTTGAGGCCTTAGCTGGGGCCTGGGCTGCAGCTTTGGCTGGTGCCTGAGTTGAGGACTTTGCTGGAGCTTCGGCCTTACTGTTAGCTTTGGCTTTGGATTTTGGCTGGTTAAGCCTGAGCCCCTTGGCAATGTGGGCCCCAGCACGCTTCCCAAGCCTAGGATGGGCGATGTAGGCGAGTCAGCTGAGCTTGCGGTTGACACCCCTTGGGATCCTGGGCTTGACCTCTTTGGGCGTTACAAGAGCCTTCACAGCTTCAGCACGTTCATCCATGGCCTTGGCATTGTTGGCTTGCATCTTCTTCAGGCCCTTGTTATTGTGCTTCTTGGCAAAGTGCATGTTCCTCAGGAATTTGGGGTCTACCCCCTTAAGAGACTCATATCATTGCGATCTTGGTTTCTTGATACCATTTCTGTGCCATTTTGGGGACTGGTTGTGTGTGGTGTGGTTCTTGGACTTGGCCATGTCTGCACTGTCGCTGCAGCTCCCAGAGTGCCCGAGATAGGAACTCTTATACACTGTTGGTGGAAGTGTAAAATGGTACAACCACTCTAGAATGCACTTTGGTGTTTGCTCCAAAAGCTGAACATAGAAATTCCGTAAGACTCAGCTATTCCACTGCTTGGGATAAACCCCAAGAAAATGAGAACTGAGTTGAGGCACAAATGAAGACTTGTACACCAACATTCATAGCAGCATTATTCACCATCACAAGAACATGGAAACAGCCCCAATTTCCAACCACAATCAAACAGATTGACAAATTATGGTGCGTTCACACGATGGAGTACTACACAGCATGGAGAAGCAATGATTTTGTAAATCACTTAACTTGGGAGGGACTAGAGAGTATTATCTTAAGTGAACTAACTCAGTCCCATAAGGACAAATACTGTATAAGACCATTATTATGAAAATAGATAACTAGTAAATTGTGTATGAGGATCCAAGGTGGGGACAGAGGGGTGAGGATGGAAGGAGGTTAATCATAGGGTCACACAATTTGATGGGTGAAGAGTGGGTTAAGAAAATAGGAAAGATCAAGTGTGAAAAACAATGTATATGAGCTTTATAAGTAAACCAGTATAAAATAATAAAGAACAAACAAGTCTGTTTTAGAAAAATTGCAACCAGGAAGCTTGACAGTGAAACTTCATCTCCCGTACTTTGGGCCTGTTGTCAGGAGGAAAAAGATATCTTACTAGAAAAGGCAGAGAGTCAGAGAAAGATAGACCAAGATGTACTGATGCAGTGACTCAAAGGACTTGAGCATATCAGAGATGTGAAGATGGTGCAGGATAGGTCATGGTATAGATCTGTTGTTCATAGGGCCGCTATGAATAGCAGACTTGATGGCATCTAACCTTTCTCAAAACTATCCATGTCCATTTAAGGGTGTTGGATGCGAAGATGAATCTGTACTACCGGGACATTTGGGGGCGGGCTACAGGCAATTCCAGGTAAGAGAGACTGAATTGGGGTGGAGAGGAGGCGGAAAACACTGTCTCCCAGTCATGACCCAGTTTGGCACATTGGATGTACTCATTGATTCCATAACACTAGGGCTCTACTCCTCCACTCCTAACGTTGTTTTGTGCCGTCGAGTCGCCTGCGACTCATAGCGACCCTAAGTACAACAGCCCTAAACTCTGCTCTATCCTGTGCCAATCTCACTGTCTCTGACACTCCCATCCCGATTACCCCAGTCACTGAATCAATCCACCTCATAG